AAAACAATACTGATCATTTCTGTGCCCTGAAGTTCCTGTCTCTTCTGTATTTCTTGGTCAGGTTAAAGGAATTCAAATAATGTTTATATTGGGAATATAGGGACAAGTATATCAGCAACCGGGTTACTATAAAAACATGGGTCTTTGGCATTGTGCTCAGAAAATTAAGTCCTCTCATTTGGTACACACACAATGTCCTGAACAGCTATTATGATTAATTAACTTTTCCATGTTGGTGTGGGAAGTTTTACTACCTCTTAGAAAACTAGCTCCAACTAGCTTGTAGTCTGATCAAATAGAGAACAAGTCAAGTGAAAATGGAAAAGCCAAGCAACTAATCCTTTAAAGGAAATGATGATTTTTTTAAAAAGGCATCTCAGTCTAGTTAATAAATTGTTACCTCTCCTCCTGAAAGGGATATTACTCTGTATGGGGATTATAAATACACACTTGAACATTAAATTTTAATATGCTTATTAGCTACTCTCTGTTCAGATGTAGCAACTCCATTGTTATAAACCTACTTTGAAGTCTTTCTGGTGGGTCTATTTTGGGAGTTATTCACTTTTAGCTCTGCCCTTGTTTTAGAGCAGAACCTAACTGTACAGGGCTTGTTTCTTTTACTTAGTTAAAAACCTTGATGCTAGTAGACGGAGTTGGTGTTTCATAATGATAAACTCTTCCATTTTTAAGCACTTCTTACATGCCAATACTTTATGTTTGCTACTTAATTCTCATAATAGTTCTGCAAACTATTTGACAGATGGTAAAACAGACTTAGAGAGGCCAAGCCTGTTATTCAGGGTCACAAAGCTAGTTGTTGACAGTTGGGATGTTCAAACCCGGGTCCTTTTAAATCCAGAGCTATGTCCATGGTAGGATACTTCTGAATTTTTTCATGCGTCTGTTTGTGCTGTTGTTATGTGAGAGGCAATGGAAGAAATCTCAGGTAAAGAAGCGAATGCAGAGCTTCTCGAAACACATCCTTCCCAAGAATGTCAGCCTTTGATAGCACAGTAGAGTTTCCCTTCTCAAACTAACTTTGAAGAAGGAAAGCCTGAAAATAGGCAAATTTTGCTTTTTACTTTACGTAGGCACCTTTTTATTTTTGGTATTCATGGGATATAATGTGTGGAAAACCGAGAAAACGCGGGGAAATTAAAAATAACACAAACATAACAGTCACATACATGCTCCTCGTCAGCACACATGGAAAATACACTTGTCCAGTGTGGTAACAAGGACAGTGAAGAGAAATGGTCTCTTTTTAAATTCAGACACTCAAAAATTCACCCGTAGTCACCCGTAGTTTGTTAGGAATGTTGAAAACGGTGATGTGGCCTCGTAGGTTGAATAATGGCAAAATCGTATGGGCATTCAGAAAAACATTTCTTTAGCCATGGACTCTCTATCAAATTGTGGGCAAATTACCCATTTTTGTATATTTTAAAATAGACAAAAGAAGCATCACAAAGGATCTTTGGAGAAGCATCACAAAGATGATTTTTTAAGATAAATGTTTAACATTGATCATAAATTCTTTGTAACTGCTGGTTCTCAGTTGCCTGTCCCCAGCAAGAGATATTTCAGGTACAGTGTTTCCTAATGAAGTCAGAGTGAGCTACAGTACTTCAAGTTTCCCCAAGATAACAGTGTTCATTCTGTGCTAGGTGATTTCATTTGCATGCAACACTCCTTTGAGGTTGGTAATATTATTGCACCCAATTTTCAGATAGGCAAACTGAGACTCAAAAGAAGTTAAATAATGTGTCCACTAATATGGCAGGAAAATAGTGGAGTCAGGATTCAAACACTGGCCGTTGGGTCCCAGCAGCCAGGTGCAGTGCTTAAATGCCAGGCTACATAACTCAGAGAGAGCCAGACGAATGGTTGGGAGGTTAACTATCCAATGGATGCTACTCTGTATTCAAGGTCACAGAAAGGGCTCCAACCAAGGCTTTATACAATCACCATAATCCTCAGCAATGTGCTGGTAGCATCAGTGATCAAAGAAAGAAAAGAAGTGCTTAGGGTTCAAATCTGAGGTTCTATGAAACACCCAAAGACCTATGGGAATGGAGCCCCCTTCTAGGGCATGGTTTCCTGCACAGAGACAGGAGAGAACATGAAAAAAAAATCTCGGAGTGCAAAATTACTTTAGACTTCCTGAAAAGCTCACACTGTTAGAAGTGATGACTTTTGTTCCTCATTCTGTCTTTTGAGTCCATGCTTAGGGTTTTAAATGATTCTTAGCTTTGGCTTCCAGCCTACGTGGACCAAAGCAGCAAATGCTCCTTACCCCCGCAGTCTTTCCCACACTCACACTGTGCTGCCATATGTGGGCACACCCACGTGCAGCCCCAGAGGTTTTCCCTGGAAAAACATGTAGGGTTTCAAAGTTCTGTTGTCTTGGTTGGCCCATCCCCTGGGTAGGGCTGTGAACTTCTCAAGGCAAAATGGCTTCTATCATCGGGAAGCGCATCTAAAACAGGCAAAGTTGCTTTATTTATAGGCTAATCCAGTTAAGGACAAATTGGATTGGGTCTATCTGCCAGTCACCCTCGGATGCGTACAGCATGTGTTTTCTCTGCACCCCTTTCCGTGTCCAGATTGGAGAGATAATGAGAGAAGAAGGAAGTTCAGTTGTGGGGTATCCCTTGGAGGTAATTCACCATAGGTATATGTTAGCACTGGTTAGGACACAGAGAGAGTTTGCAAATAGAAAAAGAGAGAAAAGAGTAGCATGTTGTGCTGCAAATGAGGTACAATCATTCCTTCCTCTCCTGCTGCTGCGTATGAGCATGTTCGCACTGATTTAAGGAGTCAGAATTATCTATTGTGGTTGTTTTATTTCATCCTGGTTTAATTTGGTGTTTACTTATTTTAGTTTGTGGTTATTTTTATTTGTTTATCTCATAGGTTTGTTTTTATTTGGAGGAATCACTGTGGAGAGAGAAGATACTTTAGAATAAGTGGTGTGTGTTGGGACAAGATATTAATAAAATTGAGAAAGGGTGGCTGGGCACAGTGGTTCACGCCTGTAATCCTAGCACTTTGGAAGGGCAAAGTGGTAGGATCACTTGAGGCCAGGAGTTTGAGAGCAGCCTGAGCAAGAGTGAGACCCCTTCTCTGTAAAAACAAAAGAGAAAGAAAGAAAGAAAGAAAGAAAGAAAGAAAGAAAGAAAGAAAGAAAGAAAGAAAGAAAGAAAGAAAGAAAGAAAGAATTAGATGGCATGGTGGCATGCACCTGTAATCCCAGCTACTTGGGAGGCTGAGGTAGGAGGATTGCTCAAGCCCAGAAGTTTGAGGTTGCTGTGAGCCATGAAGACACCACTGAACTCTAGCCCAGGCAACAGAGTGAGACCCTGTCTTAAAAAAAAAAAAATGAGAAAGGGTGACTAGTCCCAGCTGTCAATCAGGGTGACCCTGGGTGAGTCACGTGACTTTTCCATTTGTAAAAGTTTCTGGGCCATATCAGTGATTCCCACTCATGATTGCCCACCACAATCACTTAGAGGGTGTTTAGAATGAGATATCTGCAATAAAGTTGCTTGGGGGAACTATTTTGGGTGATGAAATTGTTGTGTACCTTGTTACAGTGGTGTTTACAGGACTGCATATGTTTATCAAACTCTGTGAACTGTACCCGGAAACGAGTGAATTTTACTGTATGCAATTTACCTTAATTTTAAATTCAAAAAATTTTTAAATTTCATGAATATTGACATAGTGAAAAAAAATGCCAAGGCCACCCTAAACCAACTACCTACTGAGGGCTATCTGTTCTTTTAATTATCTCTGTACTTGTGAATCTAATAGGAACCAACTCAAACATTCTAAGTTGCTACAACCCAGATTCAGGTGTTATCAGTCAGCTGTGGCCATGAAGTCAAGAGTCCCCTGGGTGGAAGACAGCACCATGGGCGCCTGCATTCACAACGTGTCTGGACAGTCTGCTTAAATCACATGAGGAATGGAGGGAAAAACGTGGGCAGACTCTGGGCTTAATGATCCAGTATGACCAATAAGCAGAAAATGTGGGAGTAGCCAAGGACTGATCACATACTAAAAACCAGTGTAAAGGTAGAGGATGTGGAACTTAGAACTGTCTATTAAGCTATTGATTTTGGTTTTGGGCATTAAAGAGAAAGAAACCATCCTGTACAATGAGCCTGACACCAATCATATGGTAGCACGTAAGCGTCTGGCAGACACAGGTTCGCCGATTTGAACTATGTGGATTTTAAGAGAGAAGAGAATGCACCCTGTGGGAAGACAGGTATTTTTGGGCCCAGCATTAATCTCTGAGGAGATTTCACCCTAACATCAAAAAAGATCTGAGACCCTCGGACTCAAAAGTGTTTCCCAACAGCATTCATGTTACACCGGACTCCAAACAGGAAAATGGGGTGTTGAAAATATTTAGTTTTTTTCTTAAAGTTCATGAAGAATGTAGTAGGTATGTTTTGGGGGGTGTGTCTCATCCCAAGCACACCTCCTTAGGAACATCCCTCACCAACAGACCCTCCTGATGAGGGCTTAGAGGACTACATTTCTATAGTGTAGCCACCACCCTGGCTATAATGGATGGAACCGTGGCAGACACCAATGGAGGCTTGGCTGGGAAAACCATAAGACCCAGATGGTTCTCTAGGGGAGACACAGTGCAAGGTCCCAGAGGAAGTAGTTGTGCCATGGGAAGCCAAGGCCATTAGCAAACTAGAATTAGGAGGAAGGAACTGCAAGTAGTAACAGCAGCAATAATAATAATGATGGTTACTCACACTTATGGAACGATTTGTGTGTGCCAAGCACTGGGCTAATCCTCTCAGGTAGGTAATATCACTATCTCGATTATAAAATGAGGAAACCAGGACTTACATTTGATCACTTTCCTAAGGCCACACAGCTGGTAAGTGGCAGAGCCGGGGAGGCCACCTGGGTAAGGCAATTCTCCAGCTGGGTTACAAAATCTCTACAAGCTTTATTCTGCCTCTCAGGAAGCCCAGAAAGCAGCTGCAGGGAGGAGGATGTGGACGAGAAGCAGAAACACCATGGTGCAAGGAAGAAGAGCAGAGAAGCAGAGACCGCCAAGGATCCCAGCTCCAGTTTGCATGGAATTCTGCTGTGCTCGGTGGGAGATCTGTATTTCAAATAATCCTCTCTCTCATTCTCCCTGCCCTTGTCAGAACTAATTTCAGTGCATCTGTGTTGCTTGCTATCAAAGACCATTAAGCTAGAATGAAGTATCTAAGAGGAGGTGGGAGGTGGCTGGGGGGACATGTCTTACGTAGAGGTTAGGGCAGAGAAAATGATCCCACTCTCTCTGGGTGGGACGCTACTTTTTCCAACCTTCTCAGGTTTGGGAAGATGAGCACCTGCAGCTCCTTAAGGAAACATCTTGTCAAGGGACACTCCAAAAGAGGATACCAAGCTGCTTTGTAATCTTGGAATTACTTAGCGATACATTTAGCTAAATGACAGCCATTGAATCAGGTTTCTTAAGACGGTCTCTTTTAGGACCTTTGGCACAATTTCTTTAATGGAATTACTTGTCCATGTTTCAAAGGTTTTCTCCACCATGAACTCCTTCACCTCATAGGTCACCTCTCTCCGATGCAAGGCACCATTTAAAAGGGCCCCCACTCTTCCTAAGAATAAAAATTGCAATCCTAAATTGTATGCTTGAGTCTTTGGTATACGTTTGTGAGAAAGCTGTACTATCGTAGAAACAGAAGGAACTAGCAAATTCCCTCGGTCGCTTGGGTTTGCCAGGGAGGATCAGCACCATGAGAGAGCCCTTCTCTTTGAAAGGCTTCCCTGGAGGTCAGCCAGGTAGAGGGGATGATGCTCAAACTAAATATCAAGCTGGCCGCTGGGCGAATTTCAGAGCTGTGAACTTGGGGGCTCCGTGCTTGGTTGTCAGAGTCTGGAGAGATGGCTCTGGTCTTCTCATTGACACCAGAACACACCAGCAAGGGAAGAATCCACTGCGCCTCACCTGTCTGTTTATTCTGCTCTCTTGTGACTTTCTTAAGGGCTTAATTAATACGGTATAACTTTAGCCCTTTGATCCCCTGAAGAAAGGTTTGGGAACTGATGACTTTTTTCTCTAATCTTACCTTACTGTTCTTTCCGAATTGACCCACTGAGGACTTCTGCCAGCAGGCAGCTCCGACCAGTTTGACATGGCATCAGAGCCGTGGCTGGGCAGGGACGCTGACTGCACCAGGATTGGCGAGGCTGCCAGGCTGGCACACGCACAGGGGTTACCTCACCTGTCCACCTAGCTAATCTTGTTATGTTAAGGATACGATTTCCCCACTGTGGAGACTGGATGTTCTTGGCACCTGGACAGTGCCTTAAGGCTTGACTCAGAGGTGTGTAAGAACTGGCAGGGAATTCGGCAGCGGCTAGTACGGGATGCTGGAGCTCCCTGCACAGCGGGTGGTCCCAGAATTGTGGACCGTGCCCTCCTGTGGACTGAGAGAGACCTGCTCCAGGAGGTGGCAGCTTCGGGCAAGAGCGAGCAGCTTCAGGGCGTTCCTTTGTCCTTCAGAACAGATTTCTGTTCTTTGTGGCATCCTGACTTTCTTTTCCTTTCCCAGGGGAAGCATGAATTTGCACATCCATGTGGTGGCCTGAATGCGGTGTCCTAGCTGAAGCACTGTGACATTCCTGTCCGTCTGAAGCAGCTTTCTCTGTAATGGGAATTAGCTCCATAAAACTTTCATGGGACACCCAGTGGGAGCGAGGTGAGAGGGCTGGGGAACTGGATTAGGGCACCCCTTCATCATGTGGAGCGCTCAATGACCCCAAGGGCATTTATTAATTTTTCTGCTGTCTGGAGAGAAATATCTATCTGTAAAGAGTGGTGAACCTTATCTGGCAATTGCACCCTGCCTGGCAGCCTAGGGAGCTGCCCTCACCTATTTGTAGAGATGGTCTACCACGTGCAAGGGGAGTCCATTATTATCATTCATGGCCTCATTCAAAGTCCACAAAGTGCCTAGGAGAAAAACACATCTGCTAATAAAGTTTCGTTTTCTGATTTGGGGAGAAAAAGAATAAAGGTTTTAAGCATAATTGTGGATTGTGTTTAAAAAGTTGGGTCATTTCTGCTCATTCTGTGTTTTGACTGACAGGGCTGCATTTCTAAGACTTTGAAAGGAGATACTTCTAGGCAAAAAAAAGAAAAAGGAGCTAACTGAGGCAGAATTCTTCTTTGTTGACAGGCTGGGGGCTTTATTCCTTGAGAGGTGGGTTCAAATCCCGGCTCCGTCTCTTTCTAGCTGAGAGCCCTTGGGCAATTTACTCAAGCCCAAAAAGCCACTTCCCAGGGCTGGTGTGCACCTGGGAGTGTGCACCAGATGAGAACTCAGCTGCACACTGACTGGGTAGCCCAGGCTGGCACACGGTGAGCCCAAACAGAGCACACAGATTCCTGTCTAGTATTCTGTGCTAGAAGTTAGCAGCCATCTTTCCAAAGGTGGCATCACAGAATCAGTTTCTAGATTTCCTTTCCATGAATGCCACTTCAAGAAAGACCTTCCAACCCTTTACATTAGGAATACATAAAATAAATATGACATAAAAAAAAAAAACCAAAAACTTTTTCCACTTATTTTGCCAATTATGGGCCCTTGTATCCAAAGCTATAGGAGCAATATCAAAATAAAGGCATGCACACAAAGTTCTGGAATTTGTTGTTCTCCAAAACATCTCTGAGGAGGGAAGTTGTGGGAAGCCCGCATGGATAGCCGAGGTCGGGGAGTCCTGAAGTCACTGAACAAGAAGCACAGTCATTCTGGCCACCACCATGTTGGGGGAGGGCACCACTCCTGTGATATTTGGGGTAACAGCTGCTTGATGAGAGCCCGAACGATTAATATATTCACACAGATGGAAACGTATACTTTCCATTAAATCTTTGGACCCACCTATTTTTGCTACAAATGTTTAAAAAAATTTTTTTTTTTTTTTTAGTTTTTGGAATAAAAGTAGCTTCCTCTGTGTTCCTGGACTGCCTGCACGTGCCCGTAAGTAGCATGTCAGACCCAGGACTCGAACCGATTTGGTAGTGTTTCTCCTTACCAGGCTCTGAGCTGATTGAAAACACTGGGCTCTTCAGGTTCCAAATGAAGTTGTAGAGAAAAAAAAAAAAAATAAGAAAAAAAAAAAAAAAAAAAAAAAGAAAACACTGGGCTCAACTCTCAGTTATTTCTGTTATTAAGTGTATGAGTTTGGGCAAGTTATTTACCCACCTTAGCCTCAGTTTCCTCATGTATGAAACAGTGATAGTAATACCATTCACTCTCCATCGTAGGTATTTCATGATGATAACATGAGAGAGCTCAGTGTGTTGTCTGGCATATATTAAAAGCTCTATAATAATAATTATTATTATTAAACTATTGTGATGTCAGTGTCTGGCATGGTTGTTGACTCACACAAGGCTCGAAAAGTTTTTAAAACTTGATTTATTGTGGTCAAACCACGGTGCTGCTGACCCAGCTCTCTGCTCATTCTGTGTTTTGACTGACAGGGCTGCATGTGGCTGGAGAAAAACCACCACGACTGGCCTCACTTTCCATTCCTGACCGTTCATCTCAAGTGGGCACTTAACGCTGCCCTGCCCGACAATCCTACTGCATTTCTCTAACCTCGGTCATCTTCCCACCCTCTCGGGTGAGCAGTTCATTCTTTCCTCTCTAGATTCAAACCTCCCCCATTCTTACTCTGAGCTAATAATTATACTTCAATTTCAATGAAAAAATAGAGAAATTAGCCGGGCATGGTAGCACATGCCTATACTCCCAGCTACTCAGGAGGCTGAGGCAGGAGGATCGCTGGAGCCCAGAAGCCTGAGGTTGCAGGTTGCAGCGAGCTGTGACGATGCCACTGCACTCTAGTCAAGGTGAGACTCTGTCTCAAAAAAAAAAAAAAAGAGAGAGAGAGAGAAAGAAATGCAATCAGGGGAGATTGCTCCGATGGACACCCACACCCCCTCACCTACCTGCCTAGAAGCCTGTGGGTTCTGGATTCCTTGAAACCAAGGATGGCTGCTGCGCCCCTGGCCAAAGCCAACGCCTCCACTCAAGCCCGCACCCCTTCCCCCCTTGCCCATCTGGCGCGTCTCCCCAGCACCCTCGTCCTCCCTCTGCATCCCTGGTTTCTCTCTTTCTGCAGACTGCTCCCATCAGCATACAGATATTTTGCTTTTTTTCTCCCACTTTAAAAGACTTCATTTTGACTTTTTCCTTTCAGTTCTAGCTCCATTTCTCTCATGCCCTTTACAGCAAAGCACCGTGAAAGAGTTGACCGTATCAGCTGTCTCCAATTTCTCTTCCCCCTTTCTCTCTTGAACGCATTCCAGTCAGGTGTAGGCCCTGCAGCTGTTCTTGTCAAAGTCACCTGTGCACTGCCAAAGCCAGTGTTCCCTTCTCAGTCCTCACCTCGCCTGACCCAGCAGAAGCATGCGCACAGGCGACCTCCCCCTCCTCCTTCCGGGACAACACACGCTCCTCTTTCCTCCTTATCTCTGGCTGTTTTTTTTTTTTTTCCTCAGTCTCCTTTGCTGATTCTCCAACCCCTAAATGTTGGAGAACCTCTGGATTCAGACCGTGTATCTCTTTTCTTCATTATCTACACTCACCTCTTATGTCCTTCCTACTCAGAGGGGGGAAGCTGACATTGCAGCTTCCCCCATAGAGTGTTAGGAATGTCTACCCCAGACCAACTGAATCAGAATCTGCATTTTAACAAGATCCCTAGGTGACCATTTGCATATTAATATTTACAATCACCCTAGGTGAGCCTATCAAATTTCATGGCTTTAAGTCCCATTTATTTGCTGACTTGACTTCTACATTTTTATCTCTTGTCAATATTCTCCGGTGAAATGCAGACTCATTCCTCCACTGCCTACCTACAGTTCCACAGGGAGGTTTTACAGGTTTTCCCAACTTAAACTTGTTCAGAACTGAGCTCCCATTATTCCCACAACACGGCTTCTCCTGTATTCTTCCATCTCTTCTTGAATAGCAACTCCATTCTTCCATTGCTCAGACCAAAGCCCTGGCAGTGCTCCTTGCCTCTTTCTCCTATCCAGTCTGTCAACATAATCCAGTCTGCTCCGCATTTGGAACGTAGCCAGAATTTAACCGTTCTCATCACTTCTGCTACCCTAGATCAACTCAGCTTCCCCGTTTCCCCTGGGCAGCCAGGATAAATGTTGATAGATCATGTCACTCCTCTGTTCAAAGCCATCTGATATACCCACCCCACTTCCGGTATGACCCGCAAAACCCCACATGGCCTGTTTCCCCCACCACCTCTCGGACTCTTCTGTGATTTCTGATTTCTCCCCTCCTTTTTCTGTTCACTCCAGACTCAAGGTCTTTTTTGCTGTTCCTCCAACTCAGCAGGCAGACTCCTGCCTCGGGGCCTTTTTGTACTTGCAGTTCTCTCTGCCTGAGTGCTCTTCCCCCAGATAGCTGTGTGGCTCCCTCCCTCCACACAGGCCTCTCCTCCAAAGTCACCTTCCCACCATGCCTTCCCTGGCCTGGCCATCTCAAATCTCAGGCTCAACTTTTTTGGATTTGTTGAGACCTCTTCTGTGGCCTAACTTATGGTCAGTCTTGGAGAATTAGAAATTAACAATAAAAAGAGACAATATATCGGGCTATTTGTTTAAAACCTCACTCTACTGAACCCCAGGAGACACATCTTAGCTTCCGGGAGACTCCTGGCAGAGCGTTTGGAGAACGTTGGATAGCAGATTGAGGCAGAATCCTGTGGAATAACCAATGTTTGGGTGAGCAAAAGAAGAGATCAGGAGAAATAGGAGAAAATGTGAGAGCTTGAACCTGAAAAGTCTTTATCCAAGAAAGCAGAACATTTGCAGCTATAATGAGTCGTCAACAGTGTGAAATGCAGCCGAGCACTCCAGAAAGCTGAAGACTGGAGAGAGATGGATGAAGTAGGCACTGTGGGGGTCCTCAGTGGCATATCCACGGAGAACCTCAGTGCACCTCAAATTCACAGTCACAATTTTGAGCCCGTTATCCTCCTCACCAATCATACTCTTCCTCCTGCACTTTCTATTAATATTTTAATTTTTGGCATCCAGCCACCAAAGCTAGAAAGCTGAGAATAATTATATGCTTGTGGAACACCCACGTGCACTCAATTTGGGGCAGATTTATATTCCTGAGCGTTTCTCAGCTCCTACTCTCCTCTCCATCTGCACCCCACAGTTCTAATACAGGCCCCAGTCAGCACTGGCCTGGACTATAATTTAACCCCCTAACCAGTCTCCTTGCCTCTGGTCTTATTCTCTTAAATCCATCTCTGTTGGTTCTTATGGCTCCATAATAAATTATCCTAAAATTTTGTAACTTAACACAACTGTAATAAACACTATCTTTCATAGTTTCTGTGGGTCAGGAATTTGGGAGAAGCTTAATTCTGTGGTTCTGTCTTGGGATCTCCCATAAAATTGCAGTCAAACTGTTGGCCGGGGCTCCAGTTGTTTGAAGATTTGACTGGAACCGGAGGATCCAGTTCCCACGAGGCCCTCTCACACAGTTCGCTTACTGGTGGGGGTTGGTGGGAGGCCCCTGCTCTTCCTTGGCAGTCCTCTCTGCAGAGTTGCTTGAACGCCCTCGTGGCCTGGCAGCTTAGCTTCCACCAGAACAAGCAATCCATGATGCCAAGGCAGAAGCTGCAGTTCCTTTTATGGGCTAGCCCTGGAAGTTACCTTTGTTACATCTTTCATGCTCTATTGCTCATGTGTAGTCTGTTAGAGCAGTGGTCCCCAACCTTTTCGGCACCAGGGGCCAGTTTCACAGAAGGCAGTTTTTCTGTGGGGTAGGGAGGAGGTGGAGCTCATGTGGTGATGCCAGTGATGGGGAGCGGCTGTAAATACAGATGAAGCTTCGCTTTGCTACCCCCCTGCAGTGTGGCCTGGTTTCTAAGTCTCATAGAAGACAATTTTTTCCACAGACAGGGTG